CCCCGAAGATTTCGAGACCCAGCAAGGCAGCCGGTGGACAGCCCCAGGGCCTTCAGGTTCCAGTCTGGCTAACTCCCGGCCTGTGAGAAGCTCCTGCACCGTTTCTTTACCACCTCCTCTTGGGTCCTATGCTTAGCCAATAGCATGCAATCTCCCTTCTGCTTTCTCTTCACACCGGATTATTTTGTTCTTTGGTTCTTCTAAGTCTTCAATCAGTTGCAAGATGATCGCTTATTTGTCTATGCTCTTCTTCCTCTGGGCTTCCTTGCTGTTCTGCAAAGGGTTATGTGTTCCAAGTGCATGGCCTTGTACTGCTTTTGTGCCAAGCACAGGACGCCATAGATACGCACTGACTTCCTCTGCATGCCTTGGGCCCTGTCTGTGACGATGGTCTTTCCCCAGGTTTTCCAGTGGTGAGCTGCCACACGTTAACTTGATATATATCTTTGCAAATAACTAGCTGGGCTTCATACTTTATGCTGGCTGTGCTCCTATATTGGCACTCTGTGGCAAGATCTTTTGAGCTTCACCACCGCAAGATGAAGCTGATAGAGATGGTGCCAGCCATCAACCCAAACTGGACATTCCAGGCTACCACTAACTGGTTCCCAGCTGCCTTCCTGGGCTTATGCCATCCAACCTGCTGGTTATCTGGCAGAATAAGCAGGTGGCTGGTGGGTAACTAATAGGTAGCAGATGAGAGGTACACTGTGTCATGTTGATCTTCTTATGCCTTTGGTCACTGTACTGTGACCAAGTACTGGTGAGTATGAAAGCTGGGCGGTGGCCTACCCAAACCTGTTTTCAGTCTTTTGGATGAGCTTTGTCCACGTACCATTGCCTGCCTCTTCAGGAACTATCTGTGGACTGAAGCCCCCCGGCAGCACACAGGACCCTCCCCCCCTTCCCGTTAACCCCTCCAAATGGTTACCCATAAACCCACTGGCTGTCAGGAAGGTTGGGCAGTCATATGTGAGTGCCCAAAGCAAGGCTGGAACAGGGGTCCCTTCCAACAACCTTTCTGAGTTCTGGCCAATAAACCACCCTTAATCTCGGAAACTTTGTTGAGCATCCCCTTCCTCACCTATTCTAAGCATGACAGAGTTGCTAGGCTGCGGCACTGAGGACGATGTATTCCTGCCCCTCTTCCTCCCCCCCCCACTTCTCTCCCTCCCACCTTGTCTCATAGCCCCCCTTTCCTCCCCCTCCTCCCTCAGCAGCAGTTACAGTTCAGAAACAAACAAAACTAGTAAAGCAGGGTTTTTGTTTAATGTGCTCTCCCCTTGATTGTATCCAGAGGGAGAAAGCTACTGTATAATAGATCTCATTGCCCTCTTCCGCCCTCATGCCTCCACCCCACTTCCTTTAGCAAGATCTAAATGTTTCAAAGGGAGACCTATGGGTAGACTGTTTAGTTATGCAGTGCTCTTTTAGACCAACTTGCTCATTATTTACCAAAACCTCCTGTGTGTTTTTTAATCTTTAGTTTGAGAAGCTGGGAGGAGAGACAGAAGCACTTCACAGAGATGGGTTCAAGACTCACAGCAGGTTGTGATATAAAGCAACCAAAAATTAGTTTGACTCTACTTTTCTAAAGATGGCGATTCTTTGTGGGGGCCTTGGACCACTTAGAAATAACCCCAAGCAGCATTTTGTGGGTCAACCCTGTGTTCTGTACTATTTTATTATAGCCCCGATGTCCTAAGGCCTCTATCCTACTGCCTGGCCCTTGGCTCTCAGCCCTCAGCTTCCTCATTTCCTTCCCTGCTTCTGCCCTAACAAAAGAGGGAGCAGGCTGCTGTCTGCATTGGGCAGATGCCAAGTCTCCCTCCTAGGGTGTAAAGAGATAGGTGGCGCCTCTGGATTCTCAGACAAGTTCTAGTTGGTGGGACAACAGTGTGTCAGGGCTGTCTTACTGCTGGATGGGTATGGTGGTGTTGATGACCTCCACCCTTAGCCTTTCTCCTTTCTTGGCGAAGGCCTGGCCATAAGCTCCCCAGGGCTTGGGAAATCTGGATACAGAGCATTGGGGAGCATGCTCTAAGCTGGAGAAACGGAAAGCCCAGAAACAAATGAGCCTGCTGTGGAGTGGCCTTGGAAGGCAGGCAGGGAAGCCTGGAACCCTGCAGGTTCAGGGGGGAGAGGGGAGGCCCAAGGCTCTCCCCAGGAGAGGTGGGAGGATCAGTGGTGATTTAAAGAGGATGCTTGGAAGAGGGTTTCCCGCTAATTTTTCCTATCTCCTTGAATTCACCAGACTTTTATACACATAAATGCAAGTCTAGATGTTTTCTCTCTATTATTCTAGGAGTGATCTTTTATATGTGGAAGATTGATGGTATTTGCTTCTTATTTCACTGTGTTTGAGTAAAATCCTATTCTCTATTTTTGCTTGCTGGCAGAATTGACATTTACAGGCCACCCCCCCCCCCCTTTTTTGCTTGTAATTGAGAATGTGTGCAAAAATATCAAACTTGTTTCCTGTGCAGAATGAAGACTTCTGTGAATATTATTAATATATCAGCTTGTTCTGGTCTCTCTTCGTATATAGCTCTATCCTTAGCAATAGAATGTGAATAATGTGATCTTTGAAGAGTCTGAAATTGTGCAAATGTTGCTGTCTTGTGAAAGTAATCTCAAGAAGAAAAACATAACCGTCTTCTTTGGTATTTCTTGCCCTAGTAGTAATGTGGTACTTGATATTTTATGTTCCTAACCAGTGTAAGTGCTTGTAGAATTGCTCTGTCAAATTTAACAAGGGTCCTTTTGTCTTCTCCTATGTGCTCAAAGGAAAAGTAAAATCTGTCAGTCTGCTGTATTTCTTGTTTTCACCAAAATAAAAATTAATAAAGTTCTATGTTGTCTAGGTTAATATAAGGTTGAGAAATTACTAAAGTTATCAAATGGTCACAGTAAGCATCATCTGGAAGGTTAACAAGAGGCAACAGCCACCAAACTTCCTAAGATTTGTTTTTGCTTGGAAAATGGTAAATAGGCCCACTGCCGCTACATACTCATGGACATAATTTTCTTTCTGTACAACCAGTGATTCAACATGGTGATTCCTTTTAACAGGCACTTAGGAATGTATCCCTCACTAATGTATTAAACTTTGTTAAGCTTTGATCTTTACCAAGAAACTACCAAGACCAAAATACCAAGAAAGTAAAATTAATTTTTTTTTTAATGAGTCTGAGAATAGGTGCCTGGTACCTATTGTCAAGCAATCTGTGCTGTTGTTGTTAATTTAAGTAATAACCCAACTTCTCTATAGGCCCAGATATCCCATATTCCACTAAGTTTCCTTGGACCAGTTTTCATTATTCCTTTTCCATTTTGGTTTCCTCAGCACAAGAGAGGGAAATTTGCTAAGTATTCAAGGTGAACATTTGAACTTGACTATGAAGAGTAGACCTGCTTATTGATGCCTTTAGCATCTGTGGCTTCCAGAGCAAACTTCATTCCACATTGTAGGACTCCTGTGACTCTTGGTTCTCTATTTTACTCTTCCAGGTAAGTGCTGTTTTAATATTTTTAAAGTTACAAGTTATTTTAGGACAGAGCCCATGTCTTCATTTCTCATCCCTTACATGTCCCAGCATGGTGATCATTAAATTGAAATGTAGTTTTAGACAGACTAAGAATTAGTCTAAATCCAATGTTGGAAGAGTTGGCCAACCAAGAAAGAGCATGATTTTTGGGGTCAAATTTAGGCTCATGTATAGATTCTGTTGCTTAGTAACCATACAATTTTGAAGGAGCATATAATCTAACCTCTGTGAATTTTCATTTCCTCATCTGTAAATCAGTAATTACATTCCTTATATGGTTGCTGTAGGGAGTAAATAAGGTACATAAAGTAGCCTGGTAAGGAGTCAGCATGCATTGCTATTACATTTTTACCATATTTCTGAGGATGATTCTAGAGACCAACAAGAATTTACCTTTTTGAAATCACCCTATGTGGACGACCATACCCAAGGGTTTTTAATTGAAGCAACTGGACCACACCAGGTGAGCGCTCTCAAATGTATCTCAGCCTTGCAGTGATCTAGGAGCCAACTCTATGATAACCTCGTTATCAAGAGCCTGGAAATGCTACTGCAACATCATTTTTTAAAAAAGCTATTCATGTGATCCTAACAATCAGTTATATCCAAAGAGACAGATTTACATTCCATTTTTTTGCTGGTTTGTTATATAAAATAACCATTTTTTTTCATTCAAACAAATTGATATAAAGTTATTGTGGGATGTGAATTGAGTTTAAAACTCAGTAGATGATTTTAGATTGTAATTCTAGGTTCAATTGAAGTTTCCGCTGCCTCAATATTCTAAATACCAAATTCTGACAAGTTGTTTGACCACTGTGTCATTCAGAGCTTCCCTGATCAAGTGGCCGGCAAAGGAAATCCCAGCTCCCCTGACCATTATTCTTAGGTATCATTTAGATTACGAATGTTTGCCTGTATGCTAATATTAAACTTAAGCCTTCTGCCTATTTGCACAATTTTCCTGCATTGTTAGTCATGACTTTATTAAGAAGATCTAGCTTTTCTTTTATAAGATTCTCTTTTTAATTTTTATAGTACCATTTTTAGATGATTTTAAATCTTCATGTCCAATTAGAAACACCAGCACTTTTTAAAAGCGAAATAAAAATTTTAAAAGTCTAATTACAGTCCAAAAGAAAAATGGCATTCATTATTATCAATGACTTTCCCTGTTATAAAGTTGGAAGGAAACTTGAAGTAAACTCTAACCTCTTTCGACAAGATAAGGGAAAACTGAGGTCAAGTTAGGTGGTTAACTTGTCCAGATACTTAGGTAGATACTAGTAAAAGCAGGACTAGAACTTCTTTCTGACTTGATTGAATTTTTTTTTCACTCCTCAGTGGCCCAAAAAGGATAATTAACTTCTTATTTTGGGGTTCTATGTTAGCAACAGTAGTTTGTAAGCACTTAAATATGTATTATTCTTTGCCATTTACAAAATAAACGTCTAAGGAAAAATAGCTTTATTTTTTAAAAGAAATCAAATGTGTATTGAAAGTATACATGAGACAGTATTTATCATTCAGCCTTAAGCTTGATTGTGTATGCTCATTATTATAGTCCAATGAGATTTTGAAAATCAACTTCCAACACATTATTCTTACTAGGAGATATCAAAGAAAGTTACTGACTTTGAAGAAATAATTTCAGTAACTGTTTACCTACCCTGAGATATTCATGCCCACAATATATTTGGGATTATTTTTGAGCATTTAAAATATTTTAAATATCTTTCCATTGTATGCATTAATATGCTAAATTCTCTACTATAGTCCAAGTAAAATAATGATGGTGACGAGTGTTTTCTGTTACTGCTCATGGTGGAGAGAGTGAAATTACAACATAAAGAGCAGCCAGGATTTATACTGTAAACATTATCTGGCTCCAAACATCTTGTAACAAATGGCTACTAATATGACTATGCACAGCACATAGAACACAATAATGTGGGATTGTCATATAACCATACACCCTCTTGAAGCAGCTTTTTTCGACCTTTTTTTTTTTTTCCCATTATCACCCCCCTCTCCCAAGGAAAAAATTAAACTCAAATTAAGTTTAATTAATAAATTTAACTTTAAGTTATGTTCCTCCTTAATGATAAAAATACTAAGGAATAAGATTTTAGTGGGTAATGCTTAGCTTTGGAGGGCTATATTCCATTTGCATTATCTTATTTTTTTCACCCTAAGAACCAATTTCTTTTCCTTTTGAGAATACATGTTTTAAAGTGAACGAAAATGAATTAGACAGCCTTTAACATTATTGGGGGGAAAAGGGTGAACCCTAATAGATAACATTGGAGGTTGAAATAGTTGGTTTCTGGTATCATCTCTGTCCCATCCTGGCTGCATGTTATTAGAAGAAATCATGTCTCTATTCCTAGCTTTGGAAAACAAAAGAACAGCATAAAACCTAGTAGCTGGGAAAAACCATTAATCTTACGAGACTCAGTGTCCTTGGGTAAACTGAAGGAGGTGTAGGTCAGTTGTCCCAATCCTGGCCGCCTTTTCCTGGGGCATCTAAAAGATGTCCATGTCCATCTACATACCCAGACTAAACAAACCAATCTCTGGAGGTTAAGGCCCAGCCAGTGGGTCTCAAACCTGAGTGTGAATCACAATATTATGAAACACAGATTGCTGGGTCCACCTCCGGAGTTCTAATTCTGTAGGTCTGGGGTGGGGCCTGCAAATTTGCAGGCTTAGGCTTAGGTGTAAATATGTGTGTGTATGTGTGTCCCCAGGTGAATTCTAATCTCAGGACTATTGGTATACAAAATGTTACTAAAGTTCTTTTCAGTTCAAAGACACTGAGATTTTGATATAATGAGAGTTGTTGGACATCTGTAGAAAGAGGAACTATGGAAAAACATCAATTTCTTGATCAATTTTCATTAAGAATCTGTTCCTATAAAGCATTTTACAGTATTTGTTTTATAGTACATTTGCTGCATATATGGTTCTTCACTTCATATTTCAGTAAAGATAAGTTATTTGTTTGTCAATGTTTCAAAACTTGATAAGGCCAATGGAGGGTTTGGATAGTAGCCAGCTGTTTTTGAATTGTTTGAAGAGAATCTTGTAAATTTGTAGTCCAGGGGTAATTCTGGGGAAAAAACACACAATTAGATTATTCTGCAGATCTCAAAAGGCCTTTCATAAATATAAACATGAATATTTGATAATCATTGATAATAAAACTTATTTTTTATTTTATTTTTTTAAAATATATTTTATTCATTTTTTACAGAGAGGAAGGGAGTGGGATAGAGTTAGAAACATCAATGAGAGAGAAACATTGATCAGCTGCCTCCTGCACACCTCCCACTGGGGATGTGCCCGCAACCAAGGTACATGCCCTTGACCGGAATCGAACCTGGGACCCTTCAGTCTGCAGGCCGACGCTCTATCCACTGAGCCAAACCGGTTAGGGCAAAACTTATTTTTTAGAGTCTAATAAGTTTACTATCTCTTTTGTCACCTGGATAGGTTGTACCTAGAATGAAGAGTATAGATGTCTTTCCCTATAATATTTAAAATATTAAAGTCAAATTACATTTAGAGATATTGTAAATCATCTTCAGAACTCAAACTAGTAAGTTTAATTTTAATACCCTCCATGCACAAAAGTAAATAAATAAAATAAGGATAGTCATCTCAGTTTTTTAAATTTAAAAATCAGGCCCCACTCAGGGGATCATGTAATTGGTAAATGAAAACTAATAATCTTCACAGTCCTTAAAAATAAAAGTTACTGCCCAGCTGGCATGGCTCAGTGGGTGAGTATTGACATATGAACCAGGAGGTCATGTACCCAGGTTCTGTGGGCTGGAACCCCAGTGAGGGCGTGTGAGAAGCAGCCAATCAATGATTTTCTCTTAGCATTGATGTTTCCATCTCTCCCTTTCCCTTCCTCTCTGAAATCAATTAAAAATATATTAAAAATAAAAAAATATTTTCCCCTTTACCTGCTATAGCTTCAATACTTGGAATTGCAATAGTGCTGTAAGTACTGATTCTCTTACAGGACCACGTAGAAACCAAAGAGTCTTCTGTATTTTCCAGTCCCGAAATGGAATCAGTAAAAAAAGAGCCCCATTTTTTAGATAATGAATATAGAGGCTTTCCCTTCTGTCCCTGAAACGAGAGGATAGAACAATAAAAACTGTGATTAATGTTCAATCTCATTATAATTTTCCCCTGCTAAGTAAATAAAAATTAAAAATCAGAAGGATTTGTTTCCCTTAACCAAACTATGTATTATTTTAAAAGTACCTTCATCTGGTTTTGTCTCATCCTATGGGATTGGGCCTTTTCCAGCCCTTCTCATCCTTTGGGATTAGGCCTTTCCCAGGATGTTTTCCTTGACCCCCCACACTCAGGTTGGATTAGGTCACTTCTCCATTTTCCTACGTCCCGAGTTTATCCCTAATATACTACTTCTCATACTGTTTCACCCTTGACAGATCGGGATTCTTAACTACATAAGGCTAAGACCTGATGCATTTATGTATCCCTAAGTCTTAGTGCCTAGGACAGAGGAGGCACATAAAAATTGCAGACTAAATTAAAGACCCATTCAAAAAATACTTCTCAGTGTTTTATGGATATGGCATAAAATTAAGAACTGAAAAAAATCCTATTCCATCCATATAATCTATGTATATAAAAGGCTAAGTGACCGACCATCCATCTGTCCAACCGACTGACCGGCCGGTACATATTATGCGCACTGGCAATTTAAAAATAAACGTCGACTTGCACCTGCGCAATGCATATAAAGCTCTTGCTGACGCCAATCGCATGCGATGCCAGAATGTATCTGAAGACCAACTATTGGCACTTTGTTGTTGTTATATCATGTTGTTTATTTATTAATCAATTTATCATTGTTTTTATCAATGTTTTTATATCATGTTTTTGTTATTTTTATATCATGTCTTTGTTGTTTTTATATCATGTTTATTTATTAATCAATTTATATATTATTTTCATATACATTTTACTAATTTTCTTTCATCTCTGACACTTCTATAGAGAAAGGGTGAATAGTGATATTAAAATATTTTGTATTTTAATTTTATAATACTATATTATATATGCTCTTTTGACATGTAACTTTTTGCAGTAACATAATTACTGCACGAATTTCTTCTAATTTCCTTTCAATGTGCGCGAATCTGTGCACCGGGCCACTAGTCTGGATTATAAAATCTGTCATGTGCTTCTGATGAAAATTTCATTTTGGAGCACACAAGTGTCCCAAATATCCCTTTAGATTCACAATTCTTTGTGCTGGAACTCGATTTGTGAAGCAAGATGAGAATGTATGTTTGCAGATGATGGTGTTTGGAAATCATTCAGCAAGAACCTATTTGGATTTCACCAAAGAGCAGTACTGAAATATGAATATCCACACTCCTATGTGTACATCTAAGGTGTATTTCAATATAACTTCTCAATGTCTAAATAGCAGTTTATAGGATAAATTTGATTTAGTTAATTATCCTAAGATAATGAGTCTGAAGAAAAAAGGCTCAAATCATCATATCACACATATGTAGAAAATGGTCCTGCAAATGAGTGATAGAATCGAGGCTCCTCCCTATTCTTATAAAGAGAGGAAAATAGATCTATCTACCCTTTCTGGTTCAAAGTAATCTGGATGCTACTATGGTCTAAATGTTTATGTTCTCCCAGAATTCCTATGTTGAAATTTTAACCTCCAAAGTGATATTAGGTGGGGAGGTGTCTGTCATGAGGAAGGAGCCCTGTGACTGGGTTAGTGCCCTTATGTAAAGTTCACTCTGGGGGCTCAGGAGTCAGTCTCAAGGAGCTGCTGTTTAGTTAAGCTAGACCCGTGAAGAGAGCACAAGAGCTTCCACGGCCAAGCAAAAGAGACAGTGTCACTACAGTGAGTCAGGATCTGGCAGCCTCAGCACCAACCAAAACATCCCCGGCGCCGGCACTGGATGAAAGCAGAGGGCAGGGAACACAGACTGACCTGCGTTATCTTGGCATCGTTTAACAGTTATCCACAAGATCAATCATAGAGCTGAGACGGCAAGACCACAACAACTGCCAGCAGAGTTCATCTCTCTTGGCACCAACAAGCACTTCCTAAGATAAAGCAAAGAGGAACCCTTACCTCATATTTTCCTTTCTTCTCTAGGGGCTCTGAGTCCTCAGGCTTCCAGTCTCTGTCCCCTTTGAGCTCTTCCAGGATGAGGACTGTCTCCCAGTTGCTATAATGACGGGCTGGGAAAATATCTGAATGCATGCTGTCACCAAAGTACACAACCTGTAAGTCAGACAGCAAACTCTGGGTGAGGCATTCGAACTGTGAAAGCGTGGTCATTGTTTCACGGAAGGCAAAGAAAATTCCTCTGAAAGCTGCATAAACATCTTAAATTTCCTTGAACTTTCCAGGTGACCATCAACTTGGCCCATTTGGTTTGCAGGTGCCAGGTTTAGTTTAAGAAATTATACAATGCATGTGTAGGTAGAAGAAAGGCAGAAAAGAAGTGATTTTGTTCAGTGTTGCTGAAGAAGCAAGAGTTCATATGTTTACAGTTAAACCTGACCCTAGAACTGAAGAACTGGTGAGATGTTGGCGGTGACTTGTCCCAGTGCGTTAGATTAGCAGGAGTGCACTTCACAACCACTTTCCCCAAGAGGTCCCCGGTTCCATCTGGACCTGCTGACACGGAATCTCTGAGGACGGGGTTGGGCGGGAGGACCCTGGGAAGCTCCCGGGGTTTCCCAAGACTAGACGTCCACTGATCTAGTCCACACGCTTTTTACAGACGAGAAGCCGCAGTTAAGGGAATATGAATTACAACCTCCAAGTCAGGCTGCACTGTCCACAAAATCCCTCAGGAGGTCCCAGGGGACTGTGGCAACCTGGGAGCTGATGTTACTCACCGATCTCTCCGGCTCGCAGGGCTCCTGGCAAACATTTTTTAGATGAAAGCTCCTGCTGTTGAAAATGCACCAATGTCCAACATGGACGATGTGACCAGGGTGTCAAAAGCCAGTGTGTCTTTAGGCTAGTCTGTCCTGTAATTTCAGTTACTGCTTATTTTACATATAAAAACTTTTAGGGACTGTTATCAGGATGCCATGCCTCAAGCATCCCACACTAATCCAGTGCCTCCCCTCGATCTGTGGCCCCTTGCTTGTTTCCTATACTCCGAGACAGATAAAGGACCTAGTCTACCTCAACAAACAGGCTTATTTACTAGTAAACAGAAGAGGTGAGAGAAGAGATTGGTAGACAAGCAAAGGCAGATTATTTCCCCACAGATAACTAAGCTAAATGCAGTAAGAATCATGATTTTAGCCCAGCCGGCGTGGCTCAGTGGTTGAGCAATGACCAATGAACCAGGAGGTCACAGTTCAATGCCTGGTCAGGGCAGGTGCCCGGGTTGCGGGCTCGATCCCCAGTCTGGGATGTGCAGGAGGCAACCGATCAATGGTTCTCTCTCATCGTTCATGTTTCTATCTTTCCCTCTCCCTTCCTCTCTGAAGTCAATAAAATATATATTTTAAAAAATGAATCACGGTTTTAGTTTACAAAAGTTTGTCTGCAAGTGGGCACCGAGGACCCCGCTCAGTGAGGAAATACCTGGGGCTCAGGTTTGCCAGTCATTTTCTTCAGCAGGTCATAAAGGTGCACAGCGTTCCCCTGGGAGTACCAGCCAGGTTTCTCCAGACACGGCAGGGCTTCCTGCTCCTCGTCATTCTCTGAAAATGCAGCGTGACAGTCACATCCTCTTTAGTCAGGGGAGAGCGCCCTGTTGGGCAGACCACACGCAGGCATGGCTGCAGGACATGTACAAGACAGGACCACTGGGGGCAGGAGCTAGCGTTCAGTGCGCACCTACTGCTACAAGCACTTCACAAATACATAAATAGGTCATACGTGTGTGTGTGTAAGACTTTAATAAAAATCTGTGGGATGGAATAAGTATAGATACAGGACAGGTATAAATTGGAACAAAATATGAAAACCCTGCAGATAAAAATTTATTGAGTGCTTATGTATTAAATACAAGTTTGTGAAGAGGGGAAAAATAACTCTTTTCTAGTTTAATACAAAGAGGATTATCTGACTCCCTCATATCAGATTGTTTCTTAAAATCAAGGATTTATATAAGACATTAAACCCATATATAAAACCATCATCAAGCTCTTCCTTTCTACTAGACCAGGGTTTCTTAACCTGACACTACTGAGATTTGGGACCAGATAATTCCTTCTTTGCGGTAGTGGAGGTGCAGTCCTGTGAGTTGTAGGCTGTTTAGCAGCATCCCTGGCTTCTCCCCACTAGATACCCCAGTAGCATCCTGGCTCCCAAGCTGTGCCTCTTCAGACGTTGCCAGATTTGCCCTGAAGAACAAAAGTTTCACAGGCAAAAACCACTATCCTAGACCTTTCATTAGCATATCTGCATATTCTAATACCTTCAGTTTAACAAAGAAAATATGTCTTTCAGCTAACACCTCCATTTTTTTTACTGTCTTCACAGCTAAAATTCTAGAAAGAATTGTCTATACTCATTGGTTCCACTACCTTCAATCAACTCTTCAAGACACTGCAATCTGGTCTCCCTCTACGCTGCTCCTCAGGACACCAGTCTTGCCCCTCCAATGGACTGTCTCTCTCCTTTTTCAGTAGCATTTGCCCTCATTGATGACTCTCCTCTTTCCTCTGTGGCTTCTGAACACTACTCTCCTCTTCCCCGACTGTCACCTGTCTGCTCCCAGATTGCAATCTTCTTTATCCTTAAAGTTAGTGGTGAAGCTTGGTCTGGGTCTTTTGCCTGTCCTCGTTCTCCTTATATTTGATCTCATATAAGTCCCTGGCTTTAAATACCTGTCCCTGAGCTGATGGCTCCCAAATTTACACCAGAGCCTACCTCTGTTCTCTTGGACTCCAGGCTCGTTTACACGATTTCCTAATTGATAGCTCCAGTTAGATAACTCCTAGGCATTTCAAATTTACTATGCTGAAAGATGAGTTCTTAATAGTTGTAATCTCCACCCCACCCAAATTTCTTCTATATTCTTCCCCCTGGCTCCAAGTGATATCACTATGCACCCACCTTTTTAATTCAGGAAAAACGAAAAATTAATAACCTGGAAGTCATTTTCGATTGCTCCTTTCATCTGCTGCTTCTAAAGCATCACCAAGTCCTATGTTTTCCACATCCGTAATACATCTTAAATATACAGGGCAGGGCAAAGGTAGGTTTACAGTTGTTTGTATAGAAAATAATACAATAATAAATAACCATACAAGAATAAACTGTTTCATGGAGTCACAACTGTAAACCTACTTTTGTCCCTTCCCCCCATGTACTTCGCACCATCTCCAGAACTACTGCCCCAGACCAAACAACACCATCTCTCACTTGGGACACTGTAAGTGCCTGGTCTTCCTCTCTAACCCTCCCCACATCCAATGCATCCCCCACCCAGCAGCCAAAGATGTCTCTATGTCACTCTTCTACCTCAACTGGATCACTTCAGATGGCTCATGGACTAAAACCCAAACCCCTTCCTTCCCACAGTGTATGAGGCTGCCTGCCTCCCTAACGTCCCCCCTCTCCCCCCATCCCTATGGCCAGAACCACAGGCCTCTTCTCTGTCACTGAAACTCAGCCAGATGTCTCCCACACGGGGCCGCTGTCCATCCCACCGCCAGGAACACTCATCCTCTGCTCTCCTCATGACTCACCCTTCACTTCAGGTCCCTCCTTACAAGTCACCTTGCCTGACCTTTTCAGACAGGCCTCCCCTGGCCAGCCAAGCAAGGTGGCCTCATTAGGTGGCCTCAACAGGCGGTTCCTTCCTTCACAACGCGCAGCGCGACCTCAGGGGTTTCCTGCTTATGTCTGTTTATGCCTCTGTCTGGTGCACCGAGGACCACTCAGTGCTTGACACCCAGGACTCTGAACTTAACCTGGATTCCACCGTTTCTGGGCTCCTCAGTAAGCAGAGAACCAAGCTACTGTCAACTGCCTTGCACCGAGTAGGGCTTTTAAGTAGCACAAAAAAAGTGCTAAGTTAAAAATACTGCATCACCATATCTTTATTTTTCCTTTTGTTTATAAAATGGTGGTATATTTCACACATTATTTTACCTTTGTTTTTCACCTAGTATACATCGTACCCCCTATCAGTATACTCCTAACACAGTAGTTTGCACATGGCTGTTAGCCAACAGATTGTTTACTGTTTACTGAATAAATGAATGAACAAATCTTAAAGAGGAGAAGAAATAAACCAAAACTAACTTACCAAGTGTCCGGAAAGGTCTTTGACTTGGTAAATGGGAGAAGAAACCAGGCTTCAATGCATTTGTAATCACAATGTCAAAAAGATCTGCAAAATCATTCCTGAAAAGCAACAGAATTTTAAAATATTTATTTTAAGGAATTAGAAACTGTCTATATAAAATTGAACTTAATCTTCACCTATCTACTTGACCACACCATCATTTCTTATCTTTTGATGAACTTTTTACATGCTTCCTATACATTTTAAGGTAAATCTTCCACTGGAAATAAAGGGTGATTTAGCACTAGTATTCCTGAACAACACCTTGACATAAACATAAGAAAGAATGAGCACATTAACTCTCGGTGCTAAGCTTTCTCATAATGGTCACAGTCATGGTAAGTAAATTCAATAGTTTCCAATAGCTAGAAATATTCAAAGCTATGTCTTCAGAGAGTGTTCAAAATGTGAAGAAGATACTTTATTTTGAAAGTTAGTGTTGTCTTATAATGTGGCAATTTTTAGATAACAACAATCATTGTTTTCAATCTGGACTTAATACTATATTTAGGATTATTTGAAATGGCAAAGGAATGGTAGTTCTTGCTCTTGGGGGACTCCATGTTGCACTGGGGAGATAATATTTATCCAACATCCCCACATACCTTTTGGGAATCACTGAACGTTGCTGGGGAAGGCACGAGGGACATGTGTTCCATCCACCCTTCAGAAAATCTAAAGCCCAGGTCATCAGCAAGCTATGAGCAGACGAAACCCCAGGAAAGCTGCTTTGCTAAAACATACTTGGGTGTGGTGTGGATGTTGAGAGATGTTATGAGAAATAACCATTTGCCACTCAGTGTTGTTTAATATACTGATAAGGTCATGGTGGAGCACATTTATAAAACGCACTGGTCCAATGTGCTATCAGTGTTTTATAAACATCAAAGCAGAATGTCTCATCACTTACCCCAGGATATGGTTGCAGAGAAGTCTACAGTAATCACTGTGAGAACTGGTGATTAATACAAGAATTTTCCCAGCATTCTTCAGCTGTTGAAGCCATTTTTTTACAGATTCAGGACAACTGTGTAAATACTTGCCTGGATCTCTTTTTATTTCTGGAAAATATATCCCACAGTTTTCTGAAAAATAAAAACATCAAGGAGATTTTTCTTTTTTTGACTCATCATGTTCTCAAGTTAATCTCTCTCAAAGCTATATAAAAAAATATAGCAGTTAGTACTGCTTCTTAAGAATACTACTTTACTTAAAAACGTAATGATGGTTGAAAATGTCAGTTGAGAATATTTTTGACTACTTCACAAGAACTGATAAACTGTTAAAACATAAAGAATTTATTCAGCATTCTCAAATCAGAAATATCAACTGATTTTGAAATATCAACTGCATTTGAAATATCAACTGATATTTTTTCCTTAGCTATACATATGTGTCTAGTGCCCTCTAGTGACCAAAATATAAATTACTATTAAAATGCTACTGTCCCATTTTCAAATGAATTTAAAAACAGCATATAAATACTGTATCTTAAAATTATTGGCTAGATTAATTTTATTAGTATCCCTTAATAAGCCTAATGGAAAGTATGCAATCATAACAGTTTAGCTGAGAAAACTACTCTGAGGTAATAATGGGGTTCCTTGTTTTGTTCACAAGCACATTGAAATGAACAAACTAGACAAATCCTGGAGAGATACCCAATGGTACCTTATGGGTTGCTCCTACTATAAAAGATCATTGACTGTTACTGGGCAAAACACTTCCATCCCCTTGAAACTTCAAATCATTGAAGTAATAGGCGCCATATTATACAAATAGACATCCATTTATTCCTAAAATTTATTTTTATTAATTGGCATATAACATGCAAGTTTAAGGTGTACAACATTATGTTGACTTGCTACATTTATATATTGCAAAATGATTGTCACCTTAGGTTAGCTAACACCTCTATCATGTTATACTAGTACATTTTGTGATGGAAACAATTAAGATCTAGTCATTAGCAATTTTTAAGTTCACAACACAGTGTTGTTGTCTATAATATTCTCATCTTTTTACTGAACTAAATCAAGCTGTTGAACCACGGAAGAGTTAGGTTAATCACACTATAATTAAATTATCTCCCCAAAGAGATTGTAAAGTTCTAAAGGGAGGGTGTGTATCTTTCTTATTGGTATGGAGCAGGCATTCAGTGAATACCTCACTTAGTGCAGGGACAGACACAGGAATATTTATGTTTATTTATATTCAAAGTAATAATATGGTTTGTAACATATAACCTGTGATGACAAAAACATTGCCCTATCAAAGTCATCCTATCTAAAGTACCTTCCTTTTTTTAATCCCATAATAAAAACACATCATGTTTAATTATATTATGATACTGATAGATTAACACTGACTGCACAAGACAGGGAATTTTGACCTAAGGTGGAAAGAAAGGAATGGTCTTGTTTGTTTTCAACTCACAAAGTACTCTGTGTTTTCAGTTAACCTCAAAGGAATTCTATTTCACTGCCATTTTATGTAACTCGTTTTCCTGGCCTTTCCACCCCTCTAATATCCTTAGATGCTGATATTTTCTGCAAACAGACGGGGATCGAACCCCAACTGAGCGCTAACCAGATAGGGCCAGAAGTAAAATTTTTAAAAAGCTAGCTCTAAAGAATAAAAGTTTAACTCTCCTACATTAAAAAACTGATTAATATCGAGTCATGGAAATAAACAGCAAAATGTTGCAACAATCTGATACGCACATAAAATGGCCTGCATATATCAAACATAGCTTTGGATTTAGGGATCTCTTTTGATAAAAAAAATTAAAAAGTACAACTTGAATATTAAAAATAACTTTTAACAGGTATTTGTGCCATATAACTATTTCTATCATCACAGAATAAGTAACCATTTTTCCTTGTTAACTGTATCACTACTATTTGTGTGATCTGTGGCTGGAGTTTTCAAAGCTGCTGTCCAACGGCATTCCAGATGTTGGGATGCTAACACCTCCACCCTCAGCCTCCAGTTAAGGTCTGTGGCTGTTTCCAGGGCAGAAAAATATACAATTTTTTTTGGCCAAGAGACACTGAAATGTGTTTTTTTAAAAATATATTTTATTGATTTTTTACAGAGAGGAAGGGAGAGGGATAGAGAGTTAGAAACATCGATGAGAAACATTGATCAGCTGCCTCCTGCACACCTCCTACTGGGGATGTGCCTGCAACCAAGGTACATGCCCTTGACCGGAATTGAACCTGGGACCTTTCAGTCTGCAGGCCGACGCTCTATCCACTGAGCCAAACTGGTTAGGGCTGAAATGTGTTTTGAAGGATAAAAGAAATAAACAATAGATTAAGTATGTCCTGAATTTCTTTTGTTTATTTACAGGAGGCAAAAGATAAAACTGAAATTTAATATTAAAACAAATATTTTCTAGTTAGGATCCCTATGTGGTTTGTTTTAATTTACTGTATTTATAAATGAAGAAATCTAGAATTCCTAGATTGAGTAAAGTGAAAGAAACAATTATTGTGAAGATTTGACAAAACGAAGGGTTTTTGCTTAAGGTAGCAAATTAATGGAGAAGTAACAACGTCTGTTTACTTTCTCGGCCATGAACGCTTATCTCTGGGGATAAGGATGCCTTCTATCCTCTTGGGATAGGGAGGATACATTCACATGGGAGATGTACTTCCTGCTTTTGGGGGACAAAGGACAGTCACAGTGTTCTTGCACTGGCTGCTTTTCAAGTAACTTTAATTCAAGATAATCAATATGTCAAAATGACATGTTTGGGTCTGCCTGCCCTGAACCCCATCACCTCCAAAGAATAACTCAAAGGTTTCTATATTGTATACATTGACAGAATGCAAATATATATATAGCTTATGTTCAGCATCATAGCTGAACAATTCCAAACATTTTAATGGTTTTAATTTAATATTGAATTTTATATATGGACTATTTACAACTAGAGGCCCGGTGCACAAAATTTCAGCCCGGCCTGTTCCCTCTCACAGTCCGGGACCTCTAGGGGGATGTCCGACTGATGGCAATCAGACATCCTTAGCACTGCCATGGAGGCAGGAGAGGCTCCCACCATTGCCGCTGCACTTGCCAGCCGTGAGCCTGGCTTCTGGCTGAGCAGCGCTCCCCCTGTGGGAGCGCACTGACCACCAGGGGGCAGTTCCTGCGTTGAGTGACTGCCCCCGGCTGGTCAGTGCACATCATAGTGAGCGGTTGAGCGGCCTTAGCATATCATTAGCATAGTACGCTTTGATTGGTTGAACAGCTGACTGGACTAGACACTTAGCATATTAGGCTTTTATTACATAGGATTATCTTTACTTGTAATAATAACTGACATACTTTAAGTGATTATTTTTGCCAAACAGAATTCTAAGATTATTAATGTATTTACTTATTATAACAACCACGCGAAACAGGTCCTATAGCATTTTCATTCTGCAGATAAGGAAACTGAGTTATAGAGAGGGTAAGGAACTTGCCCAAGTCATAGAGCTAGAATGTAGCCAGTCTGCCTCTCTGGTGATATGGCATTTGAGTACTCTGTAACTCCAAGAATACCATAAATTCTTACTTTTTTTTTTTCTTGGATAGTATCAGAGTTCAGAGGCTATGGGGTTGACTGGAATTTGAATAAGTGGAATTTGGCAATTTGAACAAATCAAATTAGATTTCTGCAGAGGAAAAAAGTAGCTATTAATATGCAATCTGCCTAATTATAGTCACAGCACCCAGAACTGGAAGGGGCCTTAGAAATCATCTACTACAAACCTGTCCTGTTAAGCATAAATTAATAGAGACCACAAATCTTACTTAAAACGACAGTTGGTAACAAGCTTCGGAAAGGAATAGTGTGCTCAGGAATCCTAGTCCACTAAGCCTTATGTAACATATCACTTACGTGTCCAAATCTATGTGTTTTAGGTTTAAGTTACCTGGTGATACAGTATCTATTAAAGAAAAATAAAGTTTTCATAAGTCAAATGCTTTAAATGGTATGAGTGCTTTGCTCTGTAATTACTGAATTATGTGCTTTTCCTCAGAATTTCTAGACATTCTTAGTAGTCAATGAGCTGATGCTATCTATGCTACTATCTGGGAACTGAGATCTTCTACTGAGATGGGGAAAAACCTCAAATACATGTCTTACATTAAGGAAAAAAAAAATCTTCTTAGAAGGCTCTGTCCTTGCTTTGCTGCTTAGGAATGTTTGCAACTCATCACAAGGTTGTTCTCTGTGGAGCCCTCCCCCTTCTCCTCCAGCCAGGCCACCTCTGGACATCACTGCGCTACAAGGTACTAAGTACTTGCAATGAGCGTGTTTATGTATTTATTCTTTCTCCTGAGACTGAAAGATCTTTAGGAAAGAAACTGTCTTTACATTCATATTTATATTCTTGATGTCAGGCAAACAGCAGCGGATTAATAATTGTAGAAGTGTATGTGTGTGTGAGGGGAGAGCTACCAGACAAAGACTGACCCCGGCGATCATCATAAAGAGCAGAGGTTGGCAAACCACAGGCCGCCAGCTAAGGAAGGTTTTACCCTTTTAAATGGTTATATAAGTATCTGTATAAAGCCTATAACCTTTATAATCTGGTCCTTTAAGAAAAAGCTTGCCTATTCCTGATATACATACAGTATTTCTAATTATGGGCCAGTAAGAATAAATAACAACTGATTATAAATCAGTATTAGGAAGTGCCAAGCCCTGGCTGGTGTGGCTCAGTTGGTTGGGTTTCGTCCCATGCACCGAAAGGCTGCTCTTGGCCTATGCCCGGGTTGGGGGCATGCAGGAGGCAGCCGATTGATGTTTCTCTCTCACATCAATGTTTCTCTCTCTCTGTCTGTCTCTCTCTCTAAAAATCAATTTTTAAAAAATCTTAAAAATATAAAAACATAATAAAAGATTGATTTTAGAGACTTTGTTTAAAGGTTATGAAGCCTCTCAGCAGAATGAATATTATAACATCATTGTGATAAAACTGCCTTCTGAAAGATGCTATAAATACCTTTGTGTACTTATTCACCACAGTGGAGCCCCAGGCAAGATGTACTTGGCCCTGTTATTCTCTGGCCTGGGTCCTCTAAG